CTCCCTCCGGGATTCTTGTTCTGAGCCGGAGCAGCGTTTGACTTAGTCCCCGCAGCCGGCTGGGCCGGCGCGGCAGCTTTGGGCTTCTTATGATGGACATCCCTGACCTGCGTTCGGGCAGGTCTGGCCCTTGCGCGCGAACTTGCACGTCGTCTCGCCCTCAGCCACTCTTCATCACATCCGTGGGTTTCCCAATGCGTGCTGCCGCTTCTGCCGGAGCGGCTTCGCCGTTGACATTTCGACGATTGTCATAGCTATTGCCTCCACCTGCGCCCAGTCGCGCTTGTCGGGCACGTTGGTTTAGAGTGCTCTCATGCATACTGATGTTCCACTCTTCTCTGTCACGCAACATCGCCCCTTCAATCGAGCCATGACCCATTCGTACGATCTTACGCCCTCTCCCAATTTGTCTCTGGACAAGTCATACAGTTGGCAAACGAAATCTAACTTCTTAGGCTTCCTGCATTGCTCGATGAAGCGCGCGTGAATCGAGGCTCTCACCTCGTCGGATGGAGGTCGGGCACCGTAGAGTTTTTGGTAAACATCTATCCACTCATTCTAAAAAATGATACAGGTCAGCATCTGGCTTATTGGGGTCAATGACTACCTTGAAGATATCACGCGACATGCGACGTTGACCTAACTCCGATCTAACAGAACACCAATAGCAAATGGCTCGTACCATCTCGCGTCCCGTCAAGACTCTCTCTTCATTCTGGGCGCCGTACTCCATTGGACTGATCTGTTGAAGGAAGTGTATGTGATGATTGGGCAGAACTGCGATTCCTGCGCATGTTGGTGAACTTCTCAATCAAATTCGTGGCGATCATGATGTCAAGACGTTGGAAGCGACCTGGGTTTTTGAGCTGTTCGTCATCCACCGCAGGGCCCATAGCTTCTGTGATCCAACGCTGTGCTGCTTGGATCTCAGGAGATGATCCAGCAATCGCGCGGACTGCATGCATCTGCCACTCCCGTATGTTTGTAACATCGGGAATGCCCATCAGATCGACTTTCTGATTGTTTCCAACCTGTCTCCACTGGTCCAACGGGGTACTCTCATCAAGGCCTCCCGGGCCGCGCGGCCCTCCTGGGCCCTGCGGCCCACCATGACCGCCTCCGCCACCCGGGGATCCAGGCCCCCCCGGACTCCCTGGGGGCGGCTTCTCTGGCCGGTCGCGGAAAGCATCGTTAAGTGCCGACAAAATATCAGCACTTGGTGCGACACTGCTGTCTTCCCCATCTTTGTCCTGTCCTGCTCCGCCCGACGGCGTGGCCGCTGGCGCATGGCCTTTGTTTCCGCCAGACGGCTCGGCCGCTGGCGGTCTCACGCGTCCGTCCTTGGAGGACGGGTGGTAATCGACAAAAGCCATGTCGCCATTAGTACCTGTAAGATTCATATTGATAGGTAGACCAATCTCGGAGGCACTCGGCTTGGCCGGACCTTCGATTGCAGGACCAGGGGCAGCAAAGTTGGGTCGCATGACAGGCCTCACGGGCGTTTCCTGCGAAAGCAAAGGCATATCAAATACAATTTTCCATGTCCCTTTTTCACTATACGGAAATGGCTTTGCGATGGTAGCTTTGGGGTTCATCACTTCTCTCTCTGATGCAACTGCGCGTACCAGAGCCTCATCTTTCTCTCGGGTGTCGGCGGCTGATCCTCCTGAGCTCAGTCTAATCTGCTCTCCAGCCTGCTCCTTTATTCGCTGAACATTCAATTTGTCAGCGCTACATTTGTCGAGAAGCTTCTGCTGTTGGGCCCGAAATTCATGATCAGCGCTGTGTTTTTGCCATTGCTCATCCCACTTCTCCTGTTTTACCAGCGAACTCTTCTTTTGGGTGCACGCAAGCGAACTCTTCTTTTGGGCGCGCGCAAAACACCGTTCGGTGCTCACATCGAAGTGATCTTTGCTACCTGGCAGTCCACAAGTGGCGCAATCTCCTACTTTCGGGTTAAAGCAAATCGAGCAACTCTCTCCATCGCCCCATTTTGCAGGCCGCGACTGCGGCGCAGCCCTTGCCTGCAACATTGGCGGCGCCACGCTCGCTGCGGTCGTCGAGCCAGACTGGGCCGGCACGGGCGCTGCGCCAGACGGCTAGGCCGCCGGCGATGGTCGTCTATTCGCCCCAGCCGGCTTGGCTGGCGCGCGCGCACTGTCGCTCAATTGCATACGCTGAAGAGATGCTCTGGCGTTCTCATGTTACATGTGACCTGAGCTCTTCTCGATATTGATTATTCTGATCAACTATCGTCGCAGCTACAATCTGGGCGCTGGCCGATTCCAGCCTGGCAGTTTGAAGTTGTCATTGGAGCTCCTGTCTTTCTTGTATTGCCGTAGCTGTGGCGACCCTCTCTCCTTCTATTCTTGCCGCCGCAACAGCGGCGGATGCTGCTTTGACATGGACAGACTGACTGGTTGCCGTCATAACGGCCTGTCGTTCGGAAACTATCATCCCAACATATCTGTTCTCGGCTTCTTCTTCCGCGCGCTGCTTGGCAGCCGCGGTTTGATGGGACATCTGCTCCACCAGTTCTTGTTTCTGGTCTCTGACCGCCTGGGCCATTGCGAGTCTATCAGCCTCGAACGTCTTCCGAACGTCCTCAACGACTGCATTCATTTCCTCTCGGTCCAGTCGGGCTTTCTCGGCCCTCTGGGCATCGCGGGCCAGAAATTACTGCTGGGTTTTGGCCTCAACATATCTGGCCTGATTTTGCATCGCCTGGAGGAGAAGGAACGAGCAATTGTGCTCTGCCATCGGCATGCAGTCTGCACACAACCACTGATTGCTACAAATGGGACACACGTCTGAGCAACTTCTACATGCTGGACGCCTGCAGGCCCCATCAGGCTTGCGGCTTTGGGCACCAGTTCTCCGCCTGAGGCGGGCAGTCGGGGCCATAGTTCCAGCATGTCTCACGCATGGATATTGCGCTGTTGCTCCTCGATGTAGATCGAGCTCCAGATCTGGGTATCTTGAGCCTTCCCCGGCTCGAAGCATTCGATCTGGGACGCATGTGCGTGCTCTCTGGCGGTCTGGCCGTTCCTCGAAGCTCCTCATCCCTTTCGTCTTGTCTAACCAACTCATCCAGTGAAGCCGGGGGGGTGATCATTTCATCGTCCTCAACTACAACGGTATCGACGGTTGCCAATCGCCTGTGGCGACGGCAGTCCGATGAAACTCCTCCTGAAGCGGAGAGCCATTCAAGTCGTAATCCTCATTCCTTTGTTTTTTAGTTGAGAAGCGGGAGTTCGTCCTGTGATCTCCCCGTCACGCTTCGCTTGAGTCGGACATTCCATTTCCACCTCGACCACCTGGGACGTCAGGTCTCTTATTTCAATGTCCGAATCTGGTATTGCAGATGCTTCCCCGAGGGCTTCCACTTGATCGTAATTAATCGTATCCTGCCCAAGGGACCACCTCTCGTCTTGGACGGGGTGGTCCGCATCCATTATCGAGGACAAATCTCGGCCAAGTGACACTTGATAGTTGGCATACTCAATGTCTGCCTCCATGGAGTTAATATCGTTTCCATCATCAAAGTGTTCGTCGCTGTCTTGGCCGGTCTGTCCGTTCAGAGCTATCGGGATGGGATGAGTCCCTCGCGCTTTTCCCCATCCGTCTGGGACGGCGGGGTGCACGCCTCTAAACCTTTCAGCTTCTCCCGACCCACTGGCTTGGCCAGCGGCCGGCACGATAGTCCGCGTAGCAATCGGGTTAGAGTTTATTGTATCCGAAGATACGGCAACGAACGACGAGAAGGCTCCTCGTCTAATCTTTGCTGTTGTGCCGTCTCGCCTCGTCGGGTCTGGAGTCTGTCCACGATCACCGATCGGAATCCGAGAAAGAGAATCGTCTCTGGACAAATCTATAACGTCTCCCCTACTCCTTCCCCGAGAGACCCGAGTGGCGATAGAAGAAGAGGGAAGGCGGCCCCTTCCTGGGCCGCCGTCCTGTGGCCCTTGCCCGTCATGTTCTACAACTTGTGATATGAGCTCGTCTCTGACGGGCAATTCGGCTGTCTCATCATAGCTCATCCCTGTTGCGACTTGGTCGCGGGCTTCGGCTGATAACCAGTTTGTCCTCTGAGAATCGGGGTAAGATGACAAAGGCATTAAGGTCTCGTGCTGACTCTGCTCAGTAGTAGAAGATACGGGAAGAGACACCGATGAAACGACAAGTAACCGTTAAGCCATTGTACTCAGGAGTAGTAAGGGAGGAGGCCGGCCGGCCGACGACACGACTACGACGAGGGAGCGACCCCTCGGCGCGCGCGTGCGAGCCAGCACGCTCCTTTTATCCCGCGTAAGCACAAACAGCTGCGGTGCAAAGCCGCAGTGTCAGGGTGTGGCAAGGAAGGCAGCGAGAGAGGCAAGTGTAAGATGAGGCGGAGAGGAACATATTTACTCCATCCCTTCTTGGGGGACCGCCCGCCTCACCCTCTTCAGCCAAGGTTGCTCGCCGCCACGCCCAAACATCCGACGTCGTGTCGGGCCTGGGTTCGAGATGCAGACTGCTGGTTCTCTCGACCCCTTCCTGGATTGCGGTTTCTTATCCCTGGGCATTCCTGTTGCTGGCCCCAGGGGCCCGAGACTGGCGTCCCGTGGGCGAAAATTTGGGACTGGCTCGATTGTGTCGTGAACCCTTGGAGACCTTCAGATATCCGCGCGGACCGTCGAACGCTTGTGTTTCTGCTGCTTTGTCTTCGAGACCCAGACCCCCGGCCCCCACAGCTCTCGACCCCTTTCCGGGCCGTGGCCCCAGAGCCCGAAAACGAACCCCGCAGACCGACTTTGCGGTAACAACGCCAGGGTATGATGCCAGAAGTCTGGGCCGTCGCCCTCACCCATGGAGGAACAAAAAACTGCAGGGGAGGGGGGTCCAGCGCCAGGGAGGGGGGTCCAGAGCCGATCCAAGAAATCAGCGAGGACCTCCGAAAGTTTCTGTTCATACAGCGTTTCTTCTTCGATCGCCCTCCTCCGCGGAGGACCGAAGGCCTTCAGATAATCCATCACGCCCACGCCAGCTACCACGTTCCCCACCACCACGTAGACCGCCACGAACAGACGAGTGTCGTCCGAATCGGGACACATGTCACCGTAGCCGACGGTCGTGATGATTTGGACCTGCCGGCCCAGTCCAGGGCGGCAAAAACTCTGGACACATGGAATTAAGAGAGCATGAGTGGGGATGATGCCCGATAGCAAAGGCTGTCCCGAGCAGACAGCGACCGTTGTTGTGCGGACGCTTCTAGTTGTTTACATGAGGGCGAACCCCGCAGTGACACCTGTGACGAGCCCAATCAAAAATGGCCAGGAATTCTGCCAGTCTTCGAGCGCATTATGTCCGTCCTCATTTCGGTCCGCCCCAAAACTCCCTCCTTCTCAGCCCTCCCATGCCACGAGAACATCGAGCTAGATCGTTCGTTCCTAGGTCCTGGGCTCCATGGGCCCGCTTCGGAGCCCAGTACCACCAAGAAGACGGCCTGGGATATACAAGCCTTTTCGCGGAGACTGGGTCAAGAGCTCCAAGGTGCCCACATCACGACCACAAATTCGTCTGGCGCCTGGGTTCTCCTGATTTTCTCAAGTCATGCAACGCCTGAACGATTTTTACTCTTTATGAAGAAACCAAATGGTGCGACGTGATTGGTGAGAAACCGTCCCCGCGTGCCTCGCTTGAGCTCCCTGGGACTCAGCGGGTTCCTCATGAAATTCTTTCCCCCCGGTTGCTCATGTTCCTGCAGTGCCAAGCAGTGCACACAAACAAAGCCGAGCAAAACAAAGCAACGCCAAACAATGCCAAGTAACCATTCAGAGCAACGCCGAGCAGCGCCAAACAATGCCAAGCATCATCAGGCCAATACTGAGCCATGCCAAGCAAAACCAAGGAATGCCAAGGAACGCCAAGCAACGCCAAGAAACGCCAAGCAAAGCGGAGCAATTCCAAGACATGCCGAACAAAGTCAAGCCATGCCAGGCAAAGCAATGGAATGGAAAACAATGAAATACTAAGCAACGCCAAGCAACGCCAAGCAATGCCGAGCAATGTACGCCAAGCAACACCAGGCAATGCCAAACATTGTTCTGCTTTGCATTGTTCGGAAATGATGGAAACTGCGTCGGAAGAGGCGGGCCCAATGTTTGCTTGCGAGGCGGACACGATCCACACGAAGCCAGACGACCGAGGGGGGATAGCAACGTGACGATCGGCTGGGTAGGTCTTCGTTCTCTCGGGGGGGACGAGGTACAGAGCAGCGTGGATCCCTATCATGTTGCGGGTATTCCTCGCCTCGTCATCTGAGACCCTCAACGCCGCGCCCTTGTTTGCAATGTGGACCCCTGGACGTCTCGACACCTTCTCCAAGGTCGGCGTTTCATTGCAAATCGCTTCTTGACCGCACTGAGGCCCCTAAGGCTTCCTGTGCGCCGAACAGTGCCAAAGCCTTCCGTCGTGATATGTTATTGGGTCAGCGCTGGGCCCCCCTTTCCCGGCTCGCGAGGCGCACCAAGGGCTGAGCGGGAGGCGCCGCCGGGGGGGAAGGTCAGCGCCGACACCCTCCCCAAAAAATGTAGCTGGCGAAGGACCCATCCATACGCATTTGTGAATACCGTAATTGTGAGTGCCATCTTCGCCCGCGCTCCCTATGTGGCCACTGCTTCCCGCTGGAGCCAGGCGTGTTCAAGAACACGTTCGTGGCCGCTTTCGCGGGCGCCGACGACGACGAGAACGGCGCCCCCCACACCGAGGAGCAGGAGCAGGAGAGGGCTCTGAGAGCCGTGAGGGAGGCTGCCACTGGCGCTTTCGGTGGAGTCCTCGTGAAGGGGTGTGCCGAAATGGCCCGAGGCCACCATGCGAACCCTGCCACTGGCGCCGTCGGTGGAGCTCCTATGGGGCCACGATCCTCGTGACGGGTGTGCCGAAATGGCCCGAGGCCGCCATGTGAACCCTGCCACTGCCGCCTTCGGTGGAGCTCCCCATGGGGCCACGATCCCATCTTTACCCAACTTAGGCCCAACAAGGCCAACATCGTCAAATAAGGTGGTTCTCACTGTTGGGGTCCATGCTAGCGGGTCAATGGACATCGTGGAATGTTCAAGGATATGTGTATTCCGTTAAGCTTCAGGTAAGGAAAGTATACAGTACGAGCAGGCGCGCGCGGGGGCGGGCGCTGGCCTTTTTCCTCGCCGAACCACGAATAGCTGCAGACAGCCAAGCACGTGTCTGCGTATGTGGTCATATATACATCGACGGCGGCAGGGGGCGCATGGCAACGACTCCCCCCGCGGCGGCCCGGCCGCAGCGCCAGCCAGGGCCGACGTTCTACCATCGGGACTCTTCGCCCCCGACGGCGTCGAATTACAGCGCGCGCGGGCGCGAGGCTCTCACAGCCGCCAGCAGCCCGCAGGTCAAGCGGCATTGATCACGCGGCAATTGGCCGGTGATAGCAGGCATTGATGGAGGGGCGAA